GCGGGGCTCCCGCCGGCAGCCGCGCGGGCCCGGGCCTTGGTAGCGAGCTTTGTACTGCTCGTGTTTTCAGATCGTCTCAGCTGGGGCACTGAGCGCCGCTTCTGCACTGATTCGAAACTGGTTTTACCCAGCTTAATGCTAGCAAACTGGTAATCCGTAACTGAACGGGCGTAGCACTTTCTCACTGAAGATAGCCCTGGCCACGTACATGCACTGGCTTACTTTGAAAACCGTGTCCTTCTTACAGGAGGAATCATAATTCTTTTTTATAAAAGTGTTATATCTGAATTGCAGGAGTGGGTAGATGAGCTGTTGATATATCAATGGCTTGATCTTTTTATTAAGCTTTTTGAGCTTTGTGAATTTATAGGAGGCTCAAATTTTGAAATGGATTTGTGTAGTCATTTTCATGTTATATTTTACTCTCGTAAAGTATTAGTAAATATAGAAGATTGATGACATAGTAATATTAACGCTTTTCATATTTTAAAATTATAAATAAAATTATTTTTTTTATTTTGCTGTGACTACAAGAAATTCCACTTAAAATCGCAATCAAAATTACGTTTAAGCAGTCTTCTTTCTGCATAAGTCACATAATGGTCATATGTTTAAGTGTCACACGACCCAGATGGATTTTGGATGAGGGTTTGAGTTTCTTGTGTGCACTGATGCTTTCACATACACTTATTAAAAAATAATGGTCTTAGAAGAATCAATCTGTTGAATTGCTGATTGTTCCTACTTCCATTAACATTAATGATTTGTCTCCTGAATACTTTATCTGGGAACATACAGTAGAACATTTTACCTGTTTTGCAGAGGATATGTCAAGGTACAAGGTGATTTGTTGGAGTTTACACAGCAAATTATTAGTTACACTGGGAACAACAGGAAAGAGTTTATTACTGCCGGTACCTATACATGCTTGTTACTTACACAGTGAAATGGCATGCTGATCCCTTGTGCTAAATCTCAATTTTGAATCAGAAAGCCAACGCAGAAACGGAAGTATGAGTTTATATTTTATTTGCTGTCATATGAAAAGAGTATTTTGTAGTTTAAGAATCTGATAGGGAATAATAAACCTTTTTAAAACTTTGAATTACTTTGAGCAATTCCAGTCTATTCCGGCATGTGGAAAATGGAATTTAAAAAAAATTCTTTTGTGTCAACTGCAAAAGACACTGTATTGATTTATTTTCTAGTTTTCTAACATAAAGTTTTGGATGAGTACTTTTTTGAGTATCTCTGTAGTGCTGAAAATTACTGACAGGAAAGACATTTGTCATTAGGAGATAGAGGTTAATTTGGTGTGTATACTGGCGTAGTAATGTTTTTGAATTGATGATTATAGATACCTTGTTTATGAAGATGTAGGTTATTAAAACTTTTAAGAAGGTCACCCATCAATTATGTTTTTCCAGAATATGTGACATTCAAACAGTAGATCTGGAGAATAAAAAATGTATAATTTTTTCTTTTTAATTTTAGTTTCCTCCATAACAGGGTTATGGATCATATGTCAGATTCATAAGAAAGGAAGGGGAATTACCATATTCGATTTTACCATTGCAGTCAGGAATGAAATATATATACATTTTAGCAAGGAGCTTTTAACTCATTCTGGTTTTTCTTACCTGATACACCAAGGGGAATAATTTTCACAGAGTTAAATGACATTAATTGTGCTTAAGACAAAAGTGGCTTATGCTTAAATAAATTCTGTGCAACTAGTTGAAAATTTAGAGGTCAGTGTTAATTTATGAATGACATTTAGATTGACAGCAAGAAGCTATAAATTAAAGAAAAGAATAGAAAAGAAAACAGAATATTCTTGCTTCATGGTAGTTTCAGACAGAAGAACAATAATGGGAACAAAAAAAATGCTTTAAAGCTATAAATAA